ACCATCCAAAAAGAAAAGAAAATCAAGAGATATGCAAGAGGCTAAGTCATGTCGTGTTTGCTCTGGATTTATTACACAACAGACTGAAGAGAATCCAACCAAACGATACTAATTTGTCTGAAGCAGATAAAGTGATGTCAGCAGTGTTAGCCATCATTGATCAGTCTACAGTGAGTTCAAGTAGTCCTCTTGTGCAGTCATGCCTCAATCTGTTAAAAGATTTTGTCTGCAATGAAGATTTCAGCTTGTCATCTGGGACGTTGAAAATGTTGATTCAGTTCCCAATGTTTGTTGATCTGGAATATGTAATATCTGTGGAATCATATGTTGCTCCTCTTTCACTTATCAAGGCCATTGTGAAAAAGAAGGTTCAAGTCCCAGAGATATATGATATTGCAGATCAGGTTTCAAAGTTGATGATAACTACTCAGAAGGAACCAATCCGCAAGAATTGCAAAGAGATATTGTTACAATTTGTGGCAACTATACACTTTTAGAGAAACGCATAGAACAACATTTTAGCTTTCTGGTGAACAATCTAAGGTATGTATGTTGAGCACTGCACTAGCTTTGTGAAATTTGGCCTTTTTCTCTTTTAGATAGTAACTGATTTTTTTTTCCTCTTCTAGCTACAAGCATCCAACTGGAAGACAAGCGGTTCTTGACGTGCTTCAAGCACTTATCGGAAAATTCTCAAAACTTGATGATCTAGGCAAGCAGCCAGTTCTTGACCAGCAGTCTGAAATTTTGTTTCTTGAGCTTGCTCGTCGTTTGGCAACCGATGATTGTGAAGATGTGTTGTCCAAGACTGGTGATGTGATAAAGCTTCTGGTAGGTCGCATCAGTAAAGATAAAGCTGATTCCAGTCTCGAGCGGTGTCTGGTTTGGTATAACCAAGAGGATTCACAGGCTATAGCAGCACAGGTAAATGCTCTGAAGGGTGCATGTTCTTATACATTCTATGGCTTGTAACATTATTATAATACTCTGCACTCATTTTTTGGATTCAGGTAATTGGATTATTCATTGAAGCAAGGAAAGAAGCTTTTCGGAAGCGTATCCGCGATATATTGTTGCAGGAAGCTAAAACGATATTGGAATCTGTTGTACAGTTGCAAGATGCTATTGAGGAAGGCAATATTACTCTTTTCTGGAAAAAAGCATTCTATACACTGGTTATGATTGAGAAGTTGCTCAAGCAATTTCCTGATTTGTGTTTTGGAAAAGGTTTAGAGGTAAATGTTTTCACTAGTTTATTGTTTGTAGTAGACTTGTGAGAAGTCGTTGCCTCGTGAATCATTGCATCTTAAAAGCTCTGATATATGTTGAACATCATTTGTTTTTCAGGATATTTGGAAAATGTATTTTAAGTTGTTGTCGTATCCACACAAATGGTTGCGAACTATATCATGCCATTTCCTGAATCGTTATTTCAAGGCATTATATGGGAGGAAGAAAAGTCTGAGAAACTAGTAGCTGATTCTCTTCTCGAGAAGCCGAGTAGCCTTTTCACGGTAGCTGCTTCTCTTTGCTCTCAGTTAAAGGAGCATGGCGTCACACGCAACAAAGACGATGATACCAAAAGAGAGAAGATTATTACAGACAATATTGTTTTTGCAGTCCCTAGTCTTCATTCTCTGATTGAACAATCCAATCATCATCATGAGTTTTGGTCAATTCTTGACAAAGATGAGCAAGTGGTGTACCTCAAAGCCTTTGAACTTCTTGATTCAGGGAAAGGAAGGTCTACTTTTCTAGCTCTTGCTTTGGGGAAACGTACTGCAAACGATGTGAGAAATGTGTTGATTGGAAGTTTGCTCAAAAGAATGGAGAAGATTGCTCTTGATACAGAGTCACTTCAGATGAGAATTGTGTTCAACGTCTATAAAGACTTTGCCAAAACTGAAACAAGAAGAGTGTCGCCTCTACGCCTTTAGAATTCTGCTTCCGTTGTACAAAGTTTGCCAAGGATTTACCGGGAAAGTCGTCATAAATGAGTTGAAACAGCTCGCGGAAGAGGTAAGAGACGGTATAAGAGACGAGTGGTTAGGCACCCAAATGTTTGTGCAAGTTTACAGTGAGATCAAAGAGAGTTTGAAAAAAAAAGGGAGAAGAGGAAGCTAAAGGTGAAGGAAATGGCAGTGATAAACCCCGAGAGAAACGCAAAGAGGAAACTCAAGTTAGCTTCAAAGAACAAGGCTAACAAGAAAAGGAGGATTATGTGCAATAAAATGGATAGATGGGCACACTCTTTAGCTCTCATAACCACATTTTTAAGCCATTCTTTGCTTTAGTCTTTTATCATAGAGTCCAGACTTTTTATCTGGACTGATACACAAAACTGGATGCTTTATTATAACTAAAGGGCAGAAACGTCATTTAAAGTAGATAAAGAATCTTGACTTTGTGCTACAAAATCTAATTAACGATTTTCCTAATTTGTTACTACAAAATCTTTTTTTCTTACAAGCTTCAAACTTTAAACAGCTCAGAAATTTCAGTCTTGCTCTTAGTTTTATGAATCTCTCATTCTCAATAAAGACCCAATAAGCAAGAGAGAAATCGAAAGAGACGAGACTAAATCAATGGAGAATATTTGCTTAAAAGACTAAATCAGCCTCATGGGAGTCTTACTAGCGACCTACAAAAGAAATGGATCAAAAAAAAGATGTAAAGGGTCCCAAATCAGATTGACAATGACTTGTGGCATTAACCGCTGGAATGCTGTTCACGGACCGTTGTTGCAAAGAAGGTCCACGTTCTTCAAGGAAACCAGCTACTGTTTTATTACTGTCAAATAAAACCATGGATCATAATATTCAGGATAAGTAATATATGAATGCTAGATTAAACTCGTGATGTGAAATCTAGAGAGACATGAGCAAACTTGAAACTATTACTCAGAAGTTTGAGTATGCACATGGAACTGCAGTCGGTGCAAAGATATTCCAAGGTCTTATCTGTCAACTTATCCAAACTCCATACATCAAGAGCCTACATGTCATTGCAGTATTTCCTTATAGCTCTCATGAACACGTCGCCAAGCTCCCTGGATACCCAATATTGCAGATGAATCTTGTATGGGTAAAGCCCCGAATGATGAATTTCAGGTTTTGGTGATGAATCTTGTAAAGGTAAAGGCATTCAAACTATTTCGCTTGCGCTGAATGATAAGCCTACACTCATCATATGCCATTCAATATTTTTGTTTTTGTTAAAATGGTTTGTCTCACACTCGATCTCTCTTTCTTATTAAAAAGGCAGTTTAGAGAACAGAAACCAACTTG